TATAGTCCTATAGTCGGATAGACTTAGGATAAATGTGAATCTTCTTCAGAAAGCTGTTGATTGGAAACCTTCCTGAATTAAAAAGAAAGAAGAATTACTACTCTTTTGGTTCTACTATTTTCTTGACTTAAATCAGAAGAACAGTTTGATTTGCTGTAACAAATACCAGTACCAAGTACAACCAGACGATCGCAAGTGAAAGCGATTTTTGACTTTGTTATATCATTGGAGCTCGCTGTTTTGCCTATATTCTGAACTCTATTTTTGTTGGACTTCTTGCATTTATTATTATTTTACTTTCTACAAGCGTACGCTGCATTGCCGACGGTCTCACGTGAGTAGTTTGTTAGGTTAGGTTAGGTCCAATTTATAAGTCCCTATTGTAATCCCCATTGCCCAATAAATCATTATTAAGTATATAACTAGAAAAGGATCCTCTTGTTTTATTTGTGGCCATATATGTAAACATCGACCGACAGAGCCTGCGCGTAACTGGAACCCGAGCCCCCACGACGAATTAAGTGACGGATTCGCTTAATTCAAGTAGTGGTCACCCGCTACATATATATGTATATATAAACATGTGCTAATATTGTAATACTACTACTACTTAGGCCTAAACAATACCTGCATGGAAGACAAACAGCAGAACACATATCACAATCGGATGTATAGCCATGGTGGTGCCAAGCGCAAAAGAACCACCAAATTAAAGCCGACTTTCGTTTGTCTTTTAAAAAAGATATTTACTCTCCAAGTAGTCTTAATGATACCTTCGATAAAAATAAGTTTCTTAGTTCAGGAATATTCCTTTCTAGGCTTATTTTCGAAGTTTTGTATCAATAACAAACGTTGTCAGGATTAGACGCTTTGCTATAAAGGAAGGTCAGACTGATGGAGTAATATGAGATGTAGACGCCGGATGGTGGACTAGGATGTATAACCGTTTGTACCGAAATTTGTGGAATTAGATTACGATAGACCCATTCTGCAAGAGCATTAGGCCTATAGGTCAACTTATTTTATACAGACCTATTAATAATCCATTTGTTTACAGGCCACTATATTCAAATTTACTATAAACAAACAAACAAACAACAAACAAGATTCTTGTTCCCAAACTGAATATTTTGTTTAATTGACACTAAAATCTCCGCAAGATTTGGCGCACAACGGTGTCTCATAAAATAAATTTTAAGGATAAATAGTGGGAAAACATAGACGTCTCATTTGAGATATAAATTGGTATAAAAATAAAACTAATGTACACGTATTTGATCATTTTATATGAGTTTTATTTATGATTCATTATGACGCTTGCATACTATGTCACAGTCTGTGGAACTGCGCAACGGCGAAATTCTCGATTGGTCTATGGAATTATTGTTTTGATCTTTATTCTTTACATTTACGATTATTTTTATGTATATTTTTCCCTTAATGTAAATTCACAGAGGTAATTATAATGCAGGCCTAGGCCTATCTGATTAGAATGTAGGCGCCGCTAAAATTGTGTCGTTGGTCATTTTGACACCCTCTTGCAGCAGTGCAGGCCTATCAGTTGATTACGTACCACCATTTTTTTGAAAATGTCATTTTTAAATGTATATATTTTTACTTATAAAATTGACTGTATAAATCATCAATTCAACATTCATTTTCTTTAATACGCAAAGTTCATATTGCGGCAAAACAGACGATGGGACCTAAGGCGCAATGAAAGCCATATGGTGGTATAAACATGAGAAAACAGCAACGGTTTCTAAGGAAACGCAGTTGGAATCCGTCGAGGACATGTTATAAGCCTACACCATTTCCATCGTCAATGAAATGAAATCAAATTATTAATATCTTATTGTGCACAATATCGGAAAGTTGTGTTTATGGTAACAATAAGCCATCAGTCTTATATTCTTGGATTTGACTTTAATCACTGCATAATCATGATAATTTAAAAATATCCCTTATAAACAATCTGTCAATATTTAACAAGCATTTCAAATTCATAGTTTTGTAGATTCACTACCGGTATCGAAAATCCCGTGGTCGTCTACGTGTTTCATGGGGAGGTACATTTCATGAGGATAGAATGGCTTGGCTTATTATTTAATAATTTTGTTTCGCATATTTACAAGTTACAGTATAACTTAGTGGGATCGACTTCTCTGTTGTTCAAGTGGCTCATATTTCCTCAGGTTCTATTTCCTGATAAAATCTATTTAAAGAAATCGTCCAACCCTAAAACGATGTTGATCTCGGAACATTTTCTATATTAAAACACATTTTATAAGAACACTGAGGCTGAAATTGCTTAAGAAATAAGAACAAATTGAGGCTGAGTTAAAGTGACGAAAGAGGTTATACTTTTAAAAAAAATTGAAAAAAAAACCAAATCTTATCTGTACCTTATGTGCAATAGAATAAATACCCTGTATAATACAGAACAGTAACATACTGATGAACAAAAATAACATTCTTTTTTTTTTTAAAGTGTGTAAGAACAAAATAAGAAAAAAGACGTCCATACGTTACGGTACCTCAAAGTGCAATAAAATTGTTAATAAATTACTGTTAAGAATATTATTTATGATATAATAATTGACATCCTTTTACTTCAACGGCTGTCTGTTTAGTTACTTTTCACTGTCAGTTCTAAGTCTTTTTCATTAAAACTATTTTATTGTTTCACTGGTTTTCATGGCTTAGTTTGAATTTTGGGAATTTCCCCGCGCATTTACCGTTAATTTAAGGCATTGTGTATCTTATATTTTTTTAAAAATCATTATAATTAAGGCTTGAATTTTGTAGTTGTTTTTTACTTTTACCAATCTGCCGGGTTTCGTTGTATTCAGAGGTTTTGTAGATATTATTTAGGTAAATTTTGTAACAGGTTATAGTAATGTTTTAATTCACTTTACGGGTGGCATCGTTAGTTTATATTTGTGCATGCCCCCAGTTTAGGCTACGAAGAAAACGTTTACATTTGATTCAGTTCCACTTAAAGTTCAAATTTGTACTCTTTAATTTACTTAGTCATCAATCAAGTGGGTGGTGTGTCTAATTTAATGTTTTAATACTGAAGTTTACAATTAGAAATCAATTATATCTCTATAATTTGTGCATAAAAAAATAGAAAAAGTTCTGATGCAATGACACATTCACCATCCTTATGTAGGGAATTATTGAGTATTAAGAAATATCCGAGTTGAAGGGGTTTGAAAATATCGAGGATAAAAAAAAATTTTTTCTGCAGCCGGACGTCTATAAAACAAATCACTCCTCTTTAGATAAGAGATAAACCCAATTTGATGTCCGAGGTTTCAAATTCAATCTATAACACTCACTTCTAAACCTATTATAATAATTATAATAATCTACTAATAAAATTCAAAAATATGACGATACTTTTGAGAACGATATCATTTCAGGCAATGCCTGAAAACTTTATTATGCCTAGCCATTGCTAGGCCGTACGCTACATGTATGTTTCGACAGATCCACTGTCATCAGTGTACAGAGATTCCATATAGGCAATCTTATTTAAACGAAGTGAAGTTTGTGACACGTCAATCTATACGTAATTCAACCGTATCAAGTTGTGAACACCAAGATCATGAATAGAAAATATGTATAAATGGCAAACGGTATGAAGTAAAATCAAAATGACAAAGTTAAATTAACATGGTAGACCTGCTTGTTGAGCGAGGGCTGCTCCCATTGAATATGTAATGCCTCCTTTATTTTAGGATGATGAATTGATAGGGCGGAGTCAAGAATACGGAAAAAGTCCTCACTACAAGTTTGCATGCATTTGCGTGAATTCTTAAGGTGTTTTAATATGCGGGAGTTCCTATACATTGCCGCGTGTTGAGAGGTGTCGGATAGTTTCTACGGAATCTTTGTACACTGATGATGACAGTAGGGTCTGTGGTTTATTAGTGTCATCGATCATTGGGTAACATTATTCATGAAGTATAGTAATATATTTGGATATGCACTTTTGAAACAGTGACACAAGACTATTCCCAGCACAAAACCTCAAGGGTGGTGCATCCTAAAAAACAAAGGTTAATGCTTGTTGAGCCTGTAAATCAATGATCACAAAATACTTTATTTAAATAATTAATTTGGAAATACGGTATAGTTTATTAACCAGAATATTCATCATATACATAAGGATACTGGATTACGACGGTATGCCTATAATAGACATCTGTTCAGTTCAGCGAACCTTAGCCGTGAAGGATAGCCAATCATTTTTGTATACAGTAATTGGCTTATTCTTCATGAGAAACTAAAAAAAAAAAAAAAAAAAAAAAAGACGTAAACTAATATTTAATATAGTAATAAAATGTTATATGAAAATGTTAAATGTTGTCTGCTTATTTCCAATCCTCGCTCACTGTTAACATAAAACACGCTTCAAATCCCAATATGATTTGTTATAGCTTCATTCTTGTTTTAGAGCATAGTAATATCAAACATACAGTGAATACATATTCCATTATATACCGTAACCGTGGAGACAACTAACACACACGGATCGCGACCCAAATGAAGGGATCGCTTTCAGAATATCCCAACACTGTGGTGGATCCAGGAATTTGAAAGAGGGCCCAGGAAGGGACTTTCACAAATGGCAGGTCTAGACCACCTCAGCCCTAAACATGTTTAGGGCTGAGGTAAGAAAATATATAATTATGTCCAATGCCGTAGCCAGGATTTTAAAACAGTGTGGGACAATATCAGGGTGGACCCACTTTACACGTAAATTCAAATATTGTGGACCCATTTTATGACAAATATGCAAAATCTTAACCCAATTTTCTTAAATTGTATCCACTTAAGGCTAAATATGAGAAATCTGGACCCATTTTTTAAGAAGTGGACCCATTTTATGCATAAAATTGCATAATTTGGACCTATTTTTAAAAATGTAGACCCATTCTTTGTGGACCCATTAGACAAATTGTGTGGGATTGTCCCAACTGTCCCAATAGCTGGCTACGGCATTGATTATGGCACCTGTAAATGGCCGGAAATGGCATTCTCAGACTTACAATTTGAATATAATTTTCTTTTTATCCACTTTGGAAAAAAATATAAAAAAACATTTAGGGGGGAGGGGAGGTTGGTTGCTTTCTCCCCACCCCCCTTTGAATTGCCACTGCCACAGGCTTCCACTTGCAACTTGTTATGTTTATGTTTCATTTAAAGATGTGGACTTCAAATACAAACAACAAAATATTACAATGTGTACTACAGTATTGTTGCATACACATTGTTGTCTGTTTTATTAATTTTATATAGATTAAATACTAACTTTATATGGAATAAAAATAGAACTACTGCACCTACATTCTAAATCTACTGTATATTGTTTGAAATAATGTTCAGTGAACGGTATTGAAAGACAGTAGTCAGTAAACCTGCTTTTCAATGATAAATCATAGTTTTTCATCAATCGTTCTTTATATTTTGTTTTTGGATCACTTAATTCATTATTATTGTATTGTTTCAGTGAGTCACACATCTTTCCATAGACAATGGGTTACCTGTTTTTGCAATGATGCCAAATTAATAAATAAATCAATAAAAATACATTAAAGATCTATTGTCTGTCATGATCTGAAAAATGAAAAATTCTATATTCTAATTATAGTCAATTTGGATAAAGTTATTAACTTACAAAATCAGAATGAAAATTTAAATGAATTTACAAACATGTAAATAATACTTTTCTTGTACTTTTTTACATAAACCCTATTTTGGCAGGTAATCAATTTCAAGGTTTTGTAGTAACATGTCTGAAATCAGTAACATTTTTGAAGCTAATAACTTAATTTATCCTTTCAAATGAGCTTTTTTAAGTTTTAATATAAATTTTCAGATTTCTGATTATTTGGCAGGCAGTGTATCTTTAATTTAAACATGTTTATTTTTTAACACATTTTAACAGAGTGTATCTTTTAATTGCTTATTTACAAAAAAAGGAATGTTTAGCAACTCAACCATTTATGATATCATACCATTGTGACCAATCAAATAAAAATGAAATCATTTTTGATCAAGTGTTTGACAGCACAAAAATAATTACAACTTATTTCAGCTTTTACATTATTACCAAGGCCTGTAAACACCTATAAATTATTATTGGAAGAAATGTTTATAACAAATATACTCAGCTAAATAGGCATAATATTGCATCAAGTAAATGGCACCTTGCATTTTCAACCCCCCACGATCCGACTGGATAGAGAAAGAAAACATGAATAAATGCCATTTTCTAAAAACACATACAGTTGACAGACTGGAATTGAACCTGTATCTTACAGGCTGTGGCGGTACCAGCAGAGGTCCAGTGGCACAAGACCCTCGTTGGAGGAAACCTGCACCATTGTGCGTATTCTAAGGTTTTATTGCAATTATTTTAAAATCTATTTGGTTATCTACATAGTGCCTCTCTTTGCAGATACGAAAAGCTTTCGTCTGGTCATTGAGTCCAGATGCTCAAGTCTTGCTGCTGCAATCAGTGCAGGACCAGGTACTCATTTATACTCCTTGGTGGAGGGAAGCAATGCAGATAAAGTGCTTTGATCGAGGACACAAGCGGTAAGTACAGTGAGGGATTGAAATCCTGACCTCGAGGTTGGGAAACAAAACCATTCTCACTGCACCAAATCACTTATAAATTTAAAGACGTCGTCTGCTTTCAAAAATATTTGGTCAAGAAATATTGGTTCCTACAAAGACTGAAAATTCAATAATTAAAATAATTCGTCTATTGTCGTAATGGACTCAACAAAGAATATATAAATTTAGATAGTATAATCATATCATAAATGTGTGTAATACATCTGTTACAGACAACCAATATCTTTATGTATATTATGCTAAACCTCAAGTGAAATACAATTGCTTTGGAAACAGATCAATGAAGTTCCACGTAATTAATTATTATTATTAACATCCAGACACATTATTGCAAGGTTTATTACGTGTACTGTATGTATACAATATATTATATAGTTTATAGTATAACATTTTAATAAAAGTTATAGGGAAAATAAAAAATTAGCCAACATCCAAATGCTGGGCAGTATCTGCAACCCCTACAACATAGTTTGCTACCTCCTTGTCATCGGGTTTGTCTGACATCACCCACACGTCTTCCACTCCTCCCGTCTCATCCCGACACTGAGGACACGTACTGTGTTTCGCCTTTCTGAAATTATGAAGAATGAAAATAATTTCAATCATTTAAATTTATATACTGCATAGCATAACAAATTTGATTGTAAAATGTTATTAAAATTTACCATGAACAGGGCGGATCCAGAGATGTCTGAATGGAGGGGCGGAAAGTAGGTCAAATCGAGATAACACCACAATATTCCCCCGTGAAAGTTTTGTTTTCTAGATGACCGAAAATAACTCTGAGGAGTTTTGGGTGATCAAAATTTTCTTTTCTTTCTTTCCTTTTTTTTTCACTTTCCAAAATGGGGACCGGGCCAAAAGAGAATAGAATGGGATATATTTACAATTTTATATACAATTTAGAAATATTGAAGCAAAATATGTACATATCAGTGATTCTAAGTAAAACATGTTAAAAGGTATAAAAAAAAGTTAAATTTACAATTAGGCGATAATTAAATTAGTTGATATGCTGAAAAAAGATAATAAGATTAAACATCTATCTGCTAACAGAAGGCTTAAAATTAGTGAAAGTACCTGCGGAATGACAGGGATAGTTAAACCATGGATGAACTAATTCCTCCATGGTTAAACCACCCAACCACTAGTTAAGGTAAGCTCTCCATCACCTGTTGTCTATAGCTTGTTGGACTAAAATCTTTAAAATATTTTATTATTTTATTCTTTGGACATACAATGTGTTCGAAAACATCTCAGAACAGCTTAAATGCTAAAGTTTATCAAGAAATGGACCCCAAGCTAGTCTCCTGGATTTCACTGACCAATGTCGAAAATTGTCAGACAGCTTACAGTAAATTGAAGCAAGTTACAGTGGATTGGATTAGATTGGATTGGATTTATTCGGTGTAAACACCAAGGATAACCCACGAAAGTCTGAAGAAGACTTATTTCTAGTGGGTCCTTCTGGTGGTGATTGGGCAGTACACCGGGATACAATTCTCTACTGTGTTCCTTAACATGCACATAGGCCATAATGCACACGAGACCAATGGCTTAAACTTGTTTCATCCGAAACTTGCATTTCAGCCCTACAGCTGAAATACAAGAAGAGCAGCGATAAGAATTGAACCGGGGCCAAGAGATCTTCATGGTTCAGCGCATACACAGTGGCTACCGCAAGTTTAGCCAACTGAGCTAAGCGTCCCTACCTGCAGTAATTTAATTTTGTCAGTACATATTAATGATCAATACACATTTGGCAATAGCTTTGCGTACAACTGAGGATGACCTCCGACCTGTTATCTAGACATATACAACACTCATTTTCATCTGCTTCCTTTGAGATTTGATCAATGCTGTAAAAAAAATAAATAAAATTGATTGCTCAAGATTCATCTATCGAGGTATTATCATTTTATTATGTGGTTTAAAAATTATAACAAAAAAGCGAAATTTTTTTTTTTTTTTTTTTAAAAATTCAGTTTGGGTTGTATACAGTAAGCACTTTTTTTTGTGATGCCATTTTAGTGGATATTGGCCCTTGATGGCATTTGTAGTAATGAAAATAATTGATTTTTTTTTTATAAAACCCAAAGACTACATTCATCTTTCTATGCTTCTTCAAAAATGTAAACATTATGATCTTTCTAGCATGTGATTAGCTTTGATGCCTTGTATAGCCTCAACTAAGCGCCCATCCGCTAAATATGCCAAAATAAGGTCAGGATGACATCACATCATGACCACATACAGTATTGGCACATCATGTGACTATATATGGGCATATACAACAGTTTTTTGTCAAAGAAAATTTGTTAATCTGGACAGAGTTTAATTTACAAATCATTGAACAATTAAACAAGCCTCACTTAAGGAACAGAGTGGACACGCACAACTCAGGAGGGCAGCCATCCGGTCTTTGTTTATTATCCGATTCTGGGGAAGCTGATTTTTCCAAGTTTTCTTCATCTGTAATGGCTTGAACTTGCTGTGAAAGACTTTCAAAAACTCTTATAAACTGCCTCAAACTTAGCTCCCTTGTCGACAGAATCTGACCATTGGTCAAGTCAACCTGGTACAAGAAAAAAAAAGTAATTTTACATAAGTTGATTTTACAGCATTTCTATACTTAAGCTTTAAAAATTAGATGTCATTTTTTATTTTAAATTCATTTTGGCAAAATGATCAAGAACTCCAATTTTTCATCACATCACAATAAATGTGTTTCAATGTATCACTCAAAATAGTATTTCTTTACTATTAAATCGCACTGAACAGTGTTTACTCAGCCACTCACTTGGGTTAGTTCGCCAAAGTTTTTTCAGCAACAAGTATTTGGAACCCCTATAAATCAGGCCCAATATGTTGGCCACACTGCAGGCTCCAAGTTGTTGGAGAGCCTCTGCAAAGGTGCCTACGGGTTGCCCCATGAGAGCACATATTGTAGGCATATTACGCCATTTGTACATACCCAACTGAATCTAGTGTCACAGTATCACGAGAGATGTTTTATTTTTAGTAGAGTATAAAAATCCTACAATTTGCAGGAATTGAACCAAAGACCTTCAGATTACAGGATGAGCACTTTTTCTGACAGTCATAC